ACGTCTATCTACGACGTATTTAGGTTTACGTATTAGTAACAACTAGTGTACTCGTTACTATATATATATATATATATATATATATATAAGTATCCTAATAGATTATAAACTACAATAGCAGACGTCGGAATAATGGAGGAAAAATTGTGACTTCAGTTGGAACGGGATTAATTGCAATACTGAAGCTATAGCATAAATGTAAATATACTTATATACTTCTTAATGATATTTCGATATGAAATATAAACTTTACAATTCTAACGGTGTATGATACTGAGGCCACAAAATCTATATAGTCCTTTTTTGTGGAATATTTTATTTCAATTTGAATAATTAGACATATTGTATACATAATAATTTGCAAATAATTGTAATTAATAGACTCTGCATACAGGAAAGATAATTTCATTGTTGATGAAGAAGTTAGTTGATAGAAATGTCGCATTTAAATATAAGATAAACTGTTATGCAGACAACTACAAATAATAAATTCATACTTTCCGGTGACTTTTAATTAACTTACACCTACCATCCCCTTCCCCACCTCTTCTGTCTTTCTTTAAAACGTATATCTGTTATCAGTAGTCCCTGAGATAAAGCGATAACAACCCTGAAACGTACTACCGAGTGAAAACCAATTTAAGGCAGTCATTGTTGTCTTCTTGGCCTACTCATTCGCTGTGGGGTTTCAGTTGTTACGTGTGTTACTTTAGATTTACACGTTCAACAGCTAGAAAGATTCGATCAAGGTGACACCTTACAAAGTTTTATATTTGAATATAAAATATCGAATAGGAAACTATAGCACCAGTTTTATAACATTAAAAAGGTCATTTAGTTATGCAGTTTAACTGAATTTCACACACATACAAATATATATATACCAATATTTTGTTCGGTTACGTACTGCTTTACCTCCAATCATTTTTCTAACTTCATTCGTCATGGTCAATATAACTTAAATTGATCTTTTCTGGACAGTCTAATATTTCAATAGTTGCGGTCAAATATCCTGGAAAGCTGGAAAGAGAGCAATACCGTAAGTTCGTCTTTCAAACGAAGCCTATTCTGTTAGTATGTCTGTTAAAGTCTTAATCTATATATTAAGCTGGTGAGTTTGTTTTACTAGCGTTTTAGTCACCTTGGTATGTCTGTTGAAGTCTTAGTCTTTATATTTAGCGGGAGAGTTTCTATTATTAGCTTTGTGAACGATGCTCAATACTTAGACAATATAATTACTACAGAATAAAAATTGCACCATAAAACATAATATTAGTATCTTTCAAAAATTGAGCATGATTATTCTAGATCGTAAACTCGTAAATATTTTAAATTATTAATAAATATTTCTTATATAAGCTGCTTCTTTTTTTTCTCATTAAAAATTAGTTTTTTGTTTGAAAATAAGCGCAAAGCTAAATAATGGGCTATCTATACTCTGCCTACCAGGGTATCGAAACCCGATTTCCAGCGTTATAAGTCCGCAGACATACCGCTGTGCCACTGAGGGACTTTATTTTCTACGAAAGAGATAACAGTTTAAGAATAACTATTCTAAAAATAAATATTCCCATCTAAATATCAAACACGTATTTGCACATTAAGGGGACAAAATGTATCTTGATACATATATTAATTTTTGAAAAAGAAACTAAGCTGCAACTTTGAAAAATATCCTCATTGCAATCATCGAAAAATCAAACACGTATTTGCACTTGTACTTGTTTTCTGAGAAAGATATCTCGAAATTTAATGTACGTGTCATAAAAAGCGTCAGAGATGTGAGATGTCACTTTATTATATCTCCCCAATTTATATACAAATGAGGCTGATTGTGCAATTGTTTTCCTTATGCATACATGGTGAGACTAAAACAGACCAGAAAAAATGTTTACGGACAAACTTGTCACACTCAAGTATCTCCGAAGTTATAAGCGAAGAAATTAAATCACATTTCATTTATATGTGTTTGTTCACGATACTAAAAAAAACAAAAAAACACGTGGATTCACAAAATTAATTTAAGACAAAACCCTATAACCCGAGCGCTTTCAAAAGGCGGTGGACCTTTCTTCATCATGAGCAAACTGTTTGTTTGTTGGTCTAATAACAGTCTTAGAGTTTGACTGTTTGATCATAGACCATTAACTAAGTATAGAATTCGGAAATATTTCAGTTTCTCTTTATCTTAGCAAAAAAATGAAACAAGAAAAAAATTCCAAATACACTGATGAAACTAGACAGTTCTTATTTGAAACTGCGCATGGACCCGCTCACATTTGCTGTCAGACAGTTCTGTGTTTTATTTCAAGCCACAAATCGCAACATATACATGTATTTATATATCCATATAGGATTTGAAATTTCAAAGACATAACTTCTTTGGCTATGGGATTACGGTAAACAGCTTAACGTATCATCAGCATTAACATGTGGATTTGTAGTTACGTAATATTCTGCCCGAAGCTGTACACTGTAAGAAAGAAAAAAAAAAAAGGTGTGATTAGGGTGTGATCCCAACAAGCACACCACTGGTTATGAACAAGGTTAGAATTCACACTTTAAAAGTGTAAATTGAGAACAAATTAGTTGTCACGTATGTAAAAGTATGAATTTATAAACAAAATGAAAAGTCGTGAAGATAAAAAAAAACAACAAGTGTAAACAGAATCACTTACATAAAGATAATTTTATGATTGCTATAAAATATCAGGAACATATTGTTTTTTTAGAAGAAAGTAACTTTTCACAACTATCTTACTTTCCTGAAGAATGAATTCTTACTATCTAATATTTCATAATTCTGTTGTGAGTGTGAAATCACTCTTTCTGACGAAGAGTGTGAATTCACACTACTTTTGGTTTATCATAGCGTATTTTTAAGTTATGCAATTGATATTCGATGACGAGGAA